GCCATTGCTATTAGGTTGGAGGCCATCGCTGTTAGGTTGGAGGCCATCGCTATTTGGTTGGAGGCCATTGCTATAGGGTTGGAGGCCATCACTGTTAGGTTGGAGGCCATTGCTATTAGGTTGGAGGCCATTGCTATTAGGTTGGAGGCCATCGTTAGTAGGTTGGAGGCCATCGCTGTTGGAGGTTGGTGGAGCTGCTCCTGGCCTTACCTACTAGGAGCAACAAGCTACTAGGAACAAAGGGCATCGCTTCTAGGAGCAAGGGCGCTAGTAGGTTGGAGGCCATCGCTCTTAGGTTGAACGCGAAGGTCCATCCAAAAAGGGGTGCTGTGAATGTGTCCCTATTCCAATACGCCTCCACATCCTGGGAGGGCGGCGCCGACTGAGAAACTACATCTGGAGTAACTCCCATAGCAAGCAGTTGTGCCATGCCCCAGGAACATCATCACCCAGAAATGCAGCCCGAGAAGCGTCCTATCGCAAAATTGGGAGTGGACCTGTCAAGTACTGGGTCAGTGGAGTGGAACCTGTAGGGTGACCCTCCATCGAGTTGATGTGAGTTGGTGAGGCGGAGGCGGCCAGATGGGATGAACTCCACACAAAAAATGTGGCCGCATTTCACTGACGCAAAGACCAGCTAAGATTCCAGGGAAGGTGGAACAGATGTGGCTATGGGTCAAAACTGAGAAAAAACACCCGTTGATCTACCTGGAAGGTGGTTCGCTACATGGTGGACTGGTCGAGTTCCAGGTCAAACCGACTTGATCTTCACCGGCGTCAGGAGGTCCTCCAGCGTCATGGCTTTCCTGAAGAGATCATGATCTTCACCGGGAAGTTCAATGGAGAAACAGCCCTCCGGAGCAAACACCGTGTTTTGGAGCGGGGTGAATGGCAGTGACGCATTTGTTGGAAGATGTTGGAGGCAAATTCAACCAGACATGAGGTTCAAGCAGGTTCCAAGGACGCTACTAGGAGGAAAGGGCGTCGCTACTAGGAGCAAGAACGCTACTGGGAGCGGGGGGAAAGGAGTCCGTTGCTCTCACTCATCCAGAATCCAACAGAGTTTTCTTGCTCCTAGTAGCGATGCCCTTTGCTCCTAGTAGCAAACATTGCTCCTAGTAGTACGGCCAGGAGCCCGTAGTAGCTTCTTGCTCCTGGTAGCTTCTGACCTACGCGACCCACCGAAGTTGGAAGAGTTTTATGGGCACGCTTTAGTTAAGGCATGTTCTGGCATCCAAATTCAATATTTCTTCAACGCATGATGCTCGTTGGATGAACAAGAACAGTGCCTAATGCGCTAAAGACATCTTCTTTGTTTAATCCATTGGTGATGTTAAACCATCCTGTACGGTTTTGGTTTGTCCTCTGAACATTTGGTTTAACAAACCTGTGCCATCCAGCTTTGCACAGATCGCCCGAGCTCGCTCCTCCACGCGCGAAGGATTTCAATGATGTGTAGAACAGGTGCCGCCATTCCAAGCAGTGCAGAACATCTTACATACTTGGATGATGTCAAAGCCACTTGAATATGTCATCAAGATATTGAAATCAAACAAATCCGTAAAGAGGCAAAACCTTTATGTGATTCTTTGCGTTGGTTGGATCTTGGGGACAGGTCTCCAAGAGATGCAGAGAGCCTTGCTTCGTCAGACACTTTGTTGAAATGCATGAAAAAAACCCGAGTTCAGCCAACAATGAACAAAGTTGAAGACATCGATGGGTCTTGACCCAACATGCAAATGTCAGACGCCTCGTCCTTCTGATTCTTGAAGTCTGAGGCCAGCTTCCAAGATCAGTACCGCATCTTCAACTCAGCTTTCTTGGTTCTTGGCCCCCACGGTACCGGCCTCTCGAACATCCTTTGGATGCGCTGTGACATCCCAGTGGCCGTGATCGAATTCTTCTGTGGCCTGACGAATTGACATTTCAAACACCCCACTGGCGGGCGTGAGGAGAGGCGAAGAAAGCAGATGTGTGTTTTGGAGAACATGGTCAAGAGCGCGTTTCGCTCTGGCCAGGTAGATACCAGTAACTTGACGCAGGATAGCTCACGCACTAATGATTTGATTCCTAGATTTTTAGGGAAACTTAAGTTGCCAGGAGCTACTACAGTAGATGGACCAAATATTCAAACCCATGTATCAATAACTGTCTCCAACCCCAGACCCCCAAAGGTCAATGTTGAACATAACTTGATTGAATTTGTGTTTCCAGGGTTTGATTTGTTTCGTCCATTCGCCGAAACATGCTTGCAAGACCTCTAACATTGAGCTTTGGGGTAGAAGGGGTCCACGTGGTTGAAAGGGTTTGAATATTTCGTCCATCTACGGTACTGGGTGTGGACGGCGACCGGAGACCTACAGACGCACATGCGTGTGCTGTTATCAAGTGATGCCGGGCAGTTCCAGCTACTGTTCTTACTGTTGCCATGTGCCGTGTCTGTTCCCAGTCCCTTTCCAGTGCCTTTCCAGTGCCTTTTCCAGTGCCTTTTGCACTTTCTTGTGGCCCTGCCAGCAAAAATGTGTTTCTGTTCAAATTTTGTTGAAACAAAAAGATCAGCTATCTCTTTTTGGCAAACAAGTGAGTCACATGGCAAAATCACTGGCAGGCGCACACAAACCGTGAAAAGGCACTGGAAAAGGCACTGAAAAGGCGTTGGAAAGGCGCTGGGAACAGACACGGCACATGGCAACAATAAGAACAGCTGCTGGAACTGCTCTTCATCTGGCTTGCTTTCCTGACGTTTGCTGTCCTCGCTCGCAACGTGTCGATGTGAAAGAGTTGTTGAGCACAAAAGATGAAAACACAGAGTACTACGGATGAAGATGTTAGACTTGATACTTAAGAGCCAACAATACACAAACGTCACACCTTTAGACAGTAGATGGACCAAATATTCAAACCCATGTATCAATAACTGTCACCAACCCCAGACCCCCAAAGGTCAATGTTGAACATAACTTGATTGAATTTGTGTTTCCAGGGTTTGATTTGTTTCGTCCCTTCGCCGAAACATGCTTGCAAGACCTCTAACATTGAGCTTTGGGGTAGAATGGGTCCACGTGGTTGAAAGGGTTTGAATATTTCGTCCATCTACGGCGCTGGGTGTGGACGGCGACCGGAGACCTACAGACGCACATGCGTGTGT